GCTCATGGGTACCATACATGGCTCATGGGTACCCATACATGGCTCATGGGTACCCATACATGGCTCATGGGTACCATACATGGCTCATGGGTACCCATACATGGCTCATGGGTACCCATACATGGCTCATGGGTACCATACATGGCTCATGGGTACCATACATGGCTCATGGGTACCCATACATGGCTCGTGGGTACCCATACATGGCTCATGGGTACCCATACATGGCTCATGGGTACCCATACATGGCTCATGGGTACCCATACATGGCGCATGGGTACCCATACATGGCTCATGGGTACCCATACATGGCTCATGGGTACCCATACATGGCTCATGGGTACCATACATGGCTCATGGGTACCCATACATGGCTCGTGGGTACCCATACATGGCTCATGGGTACCCATACATGGCTCATGGGTACCCATACATGGCTCATGGGTACCCATACATGGCTCATGGGTACCCATACATGGCTCATGGGTACCCATACATGGCTCATGGGTACCCATACATGGCTCATGGGTACCCATACAGGCTCATGGGTACCCATACATGGCTCATGGGTACCCATACATGGCTCATGGGTACCATACATGGCTCATGGGTACCCATACATGGCTCACGGGTACCCATACATGGCTCATGGGTACCATACGTGGCTCATGGGTACCATACATGGCTCATGGGTACCATACATGGCTCATGGGTACCCATACATGGCTTATGGGTACCCATACATGGCTCATGGGTACCATACATGGCACATGGGTATCCATACATGGCTCATGGGTACCCATTCATGGCTCATGGGTACCATATATGGCTCATGGGTACCCATACATGGCTCATGGGTACCATACATGGCTCATGGGTACCATAGATGGCTCATGGGTACCATACATGGCTCATGGGTACCCATACATGGCTCATGGGTACCCATACATGGCTGATGGGTACCCATACATGGCTCCTGGGTTCCCATACATGGCTCATGGGTACCATACGGCTCATGGGTACCCATACATGGCTCATGGGTACCATACATGGCTCATGGGTACCCATACATGGCTCATGGGTACCCATACATGGCTCATGGGTACCCATACATGGCTCATGGGTACCATACATGGCTCATGGGTACCCATACATGGCTCGTGGGTACCCATACATGGCTCATGGGTACCCATACATGGCTCATGGGTACCCATACATGGCTCATGGGTACCCATACATGGCTCATGGGTACCCATACATGGCTCATGGGTACCCATACATGGCTCATGGGTACCCATACATGGCTCATGGGTACCCATACATGGCTCATGGGTACCATACATGGCTCATGGGTACCCATACATGGCTCATGGGTACCCATACATGGCTCATGAATACCATACATGGCTCATGGGTACCCATACATGGCTCATGGGTACCCATACATGGCTCATGGGTACCCATACATGGCTCATGGGTACCCATACATGGCTCATGGGTACCATACATGGCTCATGGGTACCCATACATGGCTCATGGGTACCCATACATGGCTCATGGGTACCATACATGGCTCATGGGTACCATACATGGCTCATGGGTACCCATACATGGCTCGTGGGTACCCATACATGGCTCATGGGTACCCATACATGGCTCATGGGTACCCATACATGGCTCATGGGTACCCATACATGGCTCATGGGTACCATACATGGCTCATGGGTACCCATACATGGCTCATGGGTACCCATACATGGCTCATGGGTACCCATACATGGCTAATGGGTACCCATACATGGCTCATGGGTACCCATACAGGCTCATGGGTACCCATACATGGCTCATGGGTACCCATACATGGCTCATGGGTACCATACATGGCTCATGGGTACCCATACATGGCTCATGGGTACCCATACATGGCTCATGGGTACCATACGTGGCTCATAGGTACCATACATGGCTCATGGTTACCCATACATGGCTCATGGGTACCCATACATGGCTCATGGGTACCCATACATGGCTCATGGGTACCATACATGGCTCATGGGTACCCATACATGGCTCATGGTTACCATACATGGCTCATGGGTACCATACATGGCTCATGGGTACCCATACATGGCTCATGGGTACCCATACATGGCTCATGGGTACCATACATGGCTCATGGGTACCCATACATGGCTCATGGGTACCCATACATGGCTCATGGTACCATATATGGCTCATGGGTACCCATACATGGCTCATGGGTACCCATACATGGCTCATGGGTACCATACATGGCTCATGGGTACCATATATGGCTCATGGGTACCATACATGGCTCATGGGTACCCATACATGGCTCATGGGTACCCATACATGGCTGATGGGTACCCATACATGGCTCCTGGGTTCCCATACATGGCTCATGGGTACCATACGGCTCATGGGTACCCATACATGGCTCATGGGTACCATACATGGCTCATGGGTACCCATACATGGCTCATGGGTACCATACATGGCTCATGGGTACCATACATGGCTCATGGGTACCCATACATGGCTCATGGGTACCCATACATGGCTCATGGGTACCATACATGGCTCATGGGTACCATACATGGCTCATGGGTACCCATACATGGCTCGTGGGTACCCATACATGGCTCATGGGTACCCATACATGGCTCATGGGTACCCATACATGGCTCATGGGTACCCATACATGGCTCATGGGTACCCATACATGGCTCATGGGTACCCATACATGGCTCATGGGTACCCATACATGGCTCATGGGTACCATACATGGCTCATGGGTACCATACATGGCTCATGGGTACCATACATGGCTCATGGGTACCATACATGGCTCATGGGTACCATACATGGCTCATGGGTACCCATACATGGCTCATGGGTACCATACATGGCTCATGGGTACCCATACATGGCTCATGGGTACCCATACATGGCTCATGGGTACCATACATGGCTCATGGGTACCATACATGGCTCATGGGTACCCATACATGGCTCGTGGGTACCCATACATGGCTCATGGGTACCCATACATGGCTCATGGGTACCCATACATGGCTCATGGGTACCCATACATGGCTCATGAGTACCCATACATGGCTAATGGGTACCCATACATGGCTCATGGGTACCCATACAGGCTCATGGGTACCCATACATGGCTCATGGGTACCCATACATGGCTCATGGGTACCATACATGGCTCATGGGTACCCATACATGGCTCATGGGTACCCATACATGGCTCATGGGTACCATACGTGGCTCATAGGTACCATACATGGCTCATGGTTACCATACATGGCTCATGGGTACCATACATGGCTCATGGGTACCCATACATGGCTCATGGGTACCCATACATGGCTCATGGGTACCATACATGGCTCATGGGTACCCATACATGGCTCATGGGTACCCATACATGGCTCATGGTACCATATATGGCTCATGGGTACCCATACATGGCTCATGGGTACCCATACATGGCTCATGGGTACCATACATGGCTCATGGGTACCATATATGGCTCATGGGTACCATACATGGCTCATGGGTACCCATACATGGCTCATGGGTACCCATACATGGCTGATGGGTACCCATACATGGCTCCTGGGTTCCCATACATGGCTCATGGGTACCTTACGGCTCATGGGTACCCATACATGGCTCATGGGTACCATACATGGCTCATGGGTACCCATACATGGCTCATGGGTACCATACATGGCTCATGGGTACCATACATGGCTCATGGGTACCCATACATGGCTCATGGGTACCCATACATGGCTCATGGGTACCATACATGGCTCATGGGTACCATACATGGCTCATGGGTACCCATACATGGCTCGTGGGTACCCATACATGGCTCATGGGTACCCATACATGGCTCATGGGTACCCATACATGGCTCATGGGTACCCATACATGGCTCATGGGTACCCATACATGGCTCATGGGTACCCATACATGGCTCATGGGTACCCATACATGGCTCATGGGTACCCATACAGGCTCATGGGTACCCATACATGGCTCATGGGTACCCATACATGGCTCATGGGTACCATACATGGCTCATGGGTACCCATACATGGCTCACGGGTACCCATACATGGCTCATGGGTACCATACGTGGCTCATGGGTACCATACATGGCTCATGGGTACCATACATGGCTCATGGGTACCATACATGGCTCATGGGTACCCATACATGGCTTATGGGTACCCATACATGGCTCATGGGTACCATACATGGCTCATGGGTACCCATACATGGCTCATGGGTACCCATTCATGGCTCATGGGTACCATATATGGCTCATGGGTACCCATACATGGCTCATGGGTACCCATACATGGCTCATGGGTACCATACATGGCTCATGGGTACCATAGATGGCTCATGGGTACCATACATGGCTCATGGGTACCCATACATGGCTCATGGGTACCCATACATGGCTGATGGGTACCCATACATGGCTCCTGGGTTCCCATACATGGCTCATGGGTACCATACGGCTCATGGGTACCCATACATGGCTCATGGGTACCATACATGGCTCATGGGTACCCATACATGGCTCATCGGTACCCATACATGGCTCATGGGTACCCATACATGGCTCATGGGTACCATACATGGCTCATGGGTACCATACATGGCTCATGGGTACCATACATGGCTCATGGGTACCATACATGGCTCATGGGTACCATACATGGCTCATGGGTACCCATTCATAGCTCATGGGTACCATACATGGCTCATGGGTACCATACATGGCTCATGGGTACCATACATGGCTCATGGGTACCATACCTAGAACCACCAATCCCATCGCCATCACACCCTCCCCCCCAACCCACCTGCATGACGACGAAGGGAGAAGATGATGGTCACCAGCTGCACCTCCATCCATCCCACCCATTCCCACCCCTCCCCCCTTAGCACACCAGCACATAGACAACTTTGTGATGCCCCCAGCCCACCTGCATGAAGACGAAGGAGGAGAAGACGATGGTAACCAGCTGCTTCTCCCCTTCTGATATCTCCATTCCCCCGTTGGCGATCACCCTGGGCACGCCTGGGGGCCCCGGTAGCTGCAGCAGCTCAATTCCTTTGAACCACAGCACGCACAGCAGCGACAGCTGGTACACCGTCTGCCCAATGATGCTGCGCCACATGGCAGCGGATACCAGCTCCTGGCTGCGCCCCACGGGCGGCTGCTCCAGCAGCTTGTCGGACGGGGGCTCTGTGGCCAGGGCTAATGCACCTAGCGTGTCCTGAATCAGGTCCACCCAGAGCATCTGAAGGGTAGTGGGGCAAAAAGGGGTTGAGAGGGAGTAAGAGGTGAAGTGCCACATGGCGTGCGGCCATGGCAGAGATGATGTTGCGCCACATGGCAGCCGACACCAGCTCCTGGCTGCGCCCCACGGGCGGCTGCTCCAGTAGCTTGTCGGACGGGGGCTCTGTGGCGAGAGCAAGTTCTCCTAGTGTGTCCTGAATCAGATCCACCCACAACATCTGGAGAGTAGGAGGAGGGGGTGGAATGGAGCAGTGCAGGGGAGATGAGCTCCTGGCTGCGCCCCACGGGCTCTGTGGCCAGGGCGAGCGCTCCTAGCGTGTCCTGAATCAGGTCCACCCAGAGCATCTGAGGCAGGGGGGAGATGGATTTGGAGGGGGGGAGAGAAGAGTGCAGAGGAGGGGAAATGAGCTCCTGGCTGGCTGCGCCCCACAGGTGGCTGCTCCAGCAGCTTGTCTGAGGGGGACTCTGTGGCCAAGGCAAGTGCACCTAGGGTGTCCTGAATCAAATCCACCCAGAGCATCTGGGGAGCGAGAATGAGGGAAGAGGTTTAGAGAGTGAAAGGGAGAAGGCGCAGTGCAGTGGAAAATGAGGTATTGGTTGTGCCCCACAGGGCGGAAGGAACGACAATATTGATACCATTCGTGGTATTATCCTAACGTTCCCTCACCACGTTCACATCTCCTAACGTTCCATATGTTCTCCCATATAATGTTCCACACTCAGAGCTCCACTCGCATTGCTGATGCAAAATGTTCTGCCACACTCTCCCCGCACTCTCCCTGCAAAAGAGGCATGTGCAATTTGATGCAGGCTGCAGAGTTCCAGCATAGGTGGAGGGCCATTTGCGATCGGATTGCCTCCGATGAAATGAGGCACGTGCGGTTCGATGCAGGCTGAAGTGTTCCAGCATAGGTGGAGGTCCATTTGCCCTTGCTTCCAGGGCGGACAACTCCTCAGATTGCCTCCAGATGTAATGAAGCACGCGCACATTGATCCAGCTGTTGAATTGGTGGGAGAAGGCAGGGAGGGGAGAGCGAGCAGGAGGGAAAGGGGGGGAGGTGGTGGGAGGTGGAGGGAGTAAGAAGAGAAAGGAAAAGTGGGTGAGGAATGGGGAGTGGGGAGAAGGTCAGACAGAAGTGTGGCATGTGCGAATGACCATGTCCTAGTACGAGCGCCCTGGCTTAGGAGGGAAGGATGAGGGGGGGAGGATGGGGGAGGATAAAAGGAGAAGGGAAAGGAAGGAAAATGTGTGGAAAATGGGAGAGGGAGGAAGGGAAGGAGGAATGCGTGCAGCAGGGGAGAAAAGGTGCAGGCATGAGTAAACAAACATCCCGTCTGCACTCAGGTGCATTAGCTGGGCGTGGGGGATGGGGAAGGGCAGGGGAGGACAAGATGTATGACAGCAAGGACAGCATTGGAGGCAGGCAGGCATGGGGGCACAAACACGCTGCCAGCTCCAACACTCATTAGCTGATTGTGAGAGCAGGAAACGGAGAGGAAGGACGGGAGAGAGGAGGGGAGGGGGGAAGGGATAAGAGCACAGGGCAGCAACAGTCATCGCTACTCTTTAGACTATCCATGGAGAATGAATGTAAATCCCCTCCACACACACATCAAGGACCACAGTACCAACTTGGTATTAGTAGCGACAAAGGCAGGGCCACCCCGAGGGCATCAGTCTTACCTCTACTAAGAATGTGGATGTATTTGTCACAGTATCATATCTCCCCAGCTCGCTTGCTGCAAGTGCAGATCTCCCCGGCTGCACGTCCGTATCATATGTACCCGTGGATTGCACCTGCAAAGCTTCCCACCTTGCTTGCTGCACGTCCAAGCCTCCACCACCTCGACCTCTCCGCAACCTCCTGCCCTACCCACACCCATTTGCCCCCAGACCTCTCCCCGTCCAGCTGAACCTTGTGTAAGAGTGCAGGTGAGACGCACCCAAGTGCCATGCCGTGCTGGAGGACCGATGTGGGAGCTGGAGTGGTGGCGGGGGAGCAGGAGCGCAGCCGGGGTGTAGTGCAGGAGCTGGTGGTTCATGCTGTATACCGCTATTCAGTCCTGGTGTATGGGGAATGATGGACGGCAGCGGTAGGGGTGTTGGTGGGAGGGATGAAGCAAGGGAAGACGGAAGGAGAAGCAACCCAGAGTGAAGGGGGGAGTCTGGGAGAACGAGGCGAGGGATGAGGGTGAGAAACAGGAATCGGGTGTGGAGATGATGCAATCTTCTTAGACTCGTCCTTAATCTCTAACAAGTGGTATCAGAGCTGATTGAGGACCTTGTGAAGAGTCTACTGAGGTGTGACGACCCTCCTAGACCCACCATGGCCTGTGGGCGTGCCTAAGTGGAGTTTTAGAGGTTGCACGTGACTTCCGCTAAGGGGAAACTCCGCCGAAATTTTGTTGGCGCCGACACTTGTGAAAATTTTGTGGATCTACATTGTGACCAGCAAAGGGGGGAGCTGAAACCTGTGATTGGGAGCAGAGGAGATGAGTCAAGGAAGTGGAGAAGCAGCTGACAAGAAGAGTGAACCGCCACCATCCAAGATCGAAGCTTTGGAGGGCTCCAATTATGAGGAATGGAGCGGGCGGATTCGGAGCGCCTTCAAGCGCTACAAGCTGCTGAAACCTGCGATGGGAGAAGAGAAGATGCTTGAGGAAGGAGAGGCATGTGACCGATGGATTGAGAGGAGTGCGGTGCTGTACGACCTCATCGTACAGTCGGTCAACAACGATATGTTTCAGCACATCAAAGATTGGTGGAGCTCGATGACTCGGGACCGAAGGCGTGGAAGCTGCTACGCGACGTGGTTCAACCCAACACGCTGCTGATGGTGATTGTGTTGGAGAAGGAGCTGGCGGCCCTCTCCATGCGACCGGGAGACGATGTGAAACCGGTGCTTGACAAGATCAAGGACACCTATGCGAGGATAGCAGCGGCGGGCAGCGAAGTGTCGCAGATGCAGCAGTGCACCAAGATCATCTCGGTGCTCGACAACTCGTGGGACAACCTCATCCCCACCCTCAACATTCAGCAGGACAAGTGGACGCCTGAGTGGCTACGGCAGCAGATTCTGCAAGAGGACTTCCGCAGGCGCCACACAGGAGGTGGTGATGCCAACAAAATTGTTGAGGGGTATGGACCTGCAGGAGGCAGCAGAGGAAGAGGGGGAGGGAGCGGCCGAGGCCGTGGGAGAGGCTTTGGCAGAGGAAGAGGCCGAGGTGACTACAATGAGGGGCATGGGAGCTCTGGTGGCAGGGGGAGCACCCGAATGGAGGGAGCTTGCTGGTACTGCAAGAAGGCTGGACACCCGTGGTTCAAGTGTTTCAGCCGGCCTGAGGGATGGGCGCCTCCAGGCATGAAGCCGCCAAGTGGTGAACGCGCACGAGGTGGCGCTGTGCAAGGTTCAGGTGCACAAGGTGAAGGTGCACAAGGTAAAGCCGACCCTGAAATGTTCCTCTTGGTTGAGGATGTGAAAGAGAGTGAGGATGATATGGGTTCCGTTGAGAAGGTTGTGATGCACCCCCTCACTCACTTGGTGATCGATTCAGGTTGCACAAGTCACATGACTCCGCGGACAGATTTGCTTGATGAGGTGAAACCCCCCGGGAAGATCAAGTTTGTGGCTGCCGCTTCAGGTGCTTTGCTCCCTGTGATTGGTGTTGGGAATGCCAAGGTGATGGGAGCCAATGGGGGGCTTGTGGGGCTTGGGAATGTCCTACTGGTTGAAGGTTTGTCCGCTAACCCCCTCTCTGTGCGCCGGCTGCAGAAAAGCAAGGCAAAGGTCACGTTCGGCCCAACGAGCTGCCGCGCGAAGCTTGGGAAGTTGCTACTGTGGGATTTGGACGAGAAGAGTAGCTGCATCAAGGACCTGTGGCAGCTGCCCATCATCTCTTGGAATGGGAAACCACCAGCAACGGCAAAGGCAGCGGCAGCGGCTAAGGCAACTGCGGGAGGAGAGGAGACTGCACCAACTGCTGGGACCCTGGATGCAGTCAAGAAGGTGCAGCAGCTACAGCAGCCACATGGTGAGGTGCTTGCTGGTGTGGATGCGACAGCTGCATGGGCTAAGGCTTCATCCGGGAGTGGTGAGGCCGATTGGGAGACGTGGCACAAGAGGCTATGCCACATCAACATTCCAATGCTGCAAAAGCTGGTGAAGGATGGGAGCCTGAAGGGATTGGAGGTGAAGGGGGCAGCAAAGGAGATTGGGAGCTGCCCTACATGCCTTGAGACCAAGTTTACGACGTTTCCCTTCAGCAGCAGCACGGGACCAGCCAAGGCACCACTCGCGCTTGTGCACATGGATGTGGTGGGGCCTACGCGGGCCCTTTCTCTCGCGGGCAGCCGCTACTTTTTAACCATTGTGGATGACCACACGTGTGCGGTGTGGGTCTACCCTCTTAAGACCAAGGGGGAGGTGGTTAAGGAGTGGATGCAGAGAGCTCAACGGGAGAGCGGACACAAGGTGAAGGTGATCCGCACCGACAACGGGGGAGAGTTCATTGGCGCTGATTTTGAGGCGGTGCTGAAGAAGAAGGGGATCCAGCACCAGCTCACGGTACCCTACAACCCTCAGCAGAACGGTGTGGCTGAGCGGTTCAACCGGACCCTGCAGGAAGGTGATCGCACTCTTCTTGGGCGCGCAGGGCTGCCGGATCCGTTTTGGGTGACTGCACTGCGGCAGGTCGCTCTTGTGAAGAACAGGGTGCTGGCAACTGTTGGGGACAAGCAGTGGGTCCCCTACACCAAGTGGTATGGGAGTGCACCAGCAGTCAACATGCTGAGAGCATACGGCTGCATGGTGGTGTTTCATGTGCCTAAGGAGAAGAGGGAAAAGCTGGAAGCTTCTGGGAGATGGGGTGTGCACTTGGGGCTTGCCAAGGATCACACGGGCTGGTTGATATGGGATTTGACCAGCCAGCAGTTGACTGTGTCAAGGGATGTGAAGTTCCTTGAGTTCTTGTACTACAAGGAGTGGAAGCAGCAGCAGCAGAAGGTTCCCACTACACCGCTGATCATTGAGGCCGATGAGGTGCAACGGCCTTCGAGGCAAGTGCAGGTCACTGTTTCAGAGGAGGAGATCTCTGGGGTGACTGAGGATGGGGGAGAACCTGAGGTGGTGGAGCAGCAGCAGCAGCAACAGCAGTAGCAGCCGCAGCAGCAGCAGCAGCAAGGTGCTCCACAAGGTGCCGCACATACGGCTGACCGTCCTAGAAGGATGTGCGCCGTCCTAGGTGGGGAATGCCCCACCCCCCTACCAGGTTCTAACCTTTTGGATCCACATAATTCGACAGATATAGACATTCCAAATGTGCATGGTACCTGTACTACAGGTGCAAAAACCGACCAAACTGACCAGCGCATAACTTATGTTTGTAGAGACAGTTAGTACCATATTCTTGCTAGTCTGCTAGATTAGGCCTTGTACTTTAATAACATTAGGTTCTAACCTTTTCCATCCATATAATCTGGGAGATTTCAAAGTTTCAGCTACGCCTTGTAACTGCACACAAGCGTGCATACTGACTGAACCGACCAACGCACTATTTTCTCTGTAGAAATACAATGAGTACCACATATGTTTCCCTTTTCCTTTATAGTATACCATTCCCCAACCCCCTACCACGTTCTAACCTTTTGGATCTATATAATTCGACAGATATAGACATTCCAAACATGCATGGTACCCGCACTACATCCGCGCATGCCAACCAAACTGACCAGCGCATTACTTATGCTTGTAGAGACAGTTAGTACCATATTCTTGCCAGTCTACTAGATTATGCTTTGTACCTTAATAACACTAGGTTTTAACCTTTTTGATCCACATAATTTGGGAGATTTCAGAGTTCCAGCTACGCCCTGTACCTGCACACAAACGTGCATACTGACCAAACCGACCAACGCATTATTTTCTCTGTAGAAATACAGTGAGTACCACATATATTTCCCTTTTTATTTATAGTGTACCATTTCCCACCCCCTAACCAGGTTCTAACCTTTTGAATCCACATAATTTGACAGATATAGATATTCCAAACGTGCATGGTACCTGTACTACAGGCGCGCATACCGATCAAACTAACCAGCGTATAACTTATGTTTGTAGAGACAGTTAGTACCAGTTTCTTGCCAGTCTACTAGATTAGGCCTTATACTTTAGTAACACTAGGTTCTAACCTTTCTGATCCACATAATTTGGGAGATTTCAGAGTTTCAGCTACGCCTTGTACCTGCACACAAGCGTGCATACTGACCGAATCGACCAACGCATTTATTTTGTTTTTGTAGAAATACGGTGAGTACCACATATGTTCCCTTTTTCCTTTATAGTATACCATTCCCCACCCCCCTACCACGTTTCAACCTTTTGGATCTACATAATTCGATAGATATAGACATTCCAAACGTACATGGTACCTGCACTACCGGCGCGCATACCGACCAAACTGACCAGCGCATTAATTATGTTTGTAGAGACAGTTAGTACCATATTCCTGCCAGTCTACAAGATTAGGTCTTGTACTCTAATAACATTAGGTTGCCATATATTTTATGTTTGTTTGGATCTATTGCCAAGCCAGCAAGGGCTTGGGAAGGTTGCGAGCGCCATCGGTCATCGGCGCTCGCGAATGAAGAGCGCCCGCTGCACTTCCTGCACATGTGAGGATCCTTCCGCGTTTTGGGGCTGCAAGCACTCGTTCCGAGGGTTTTTCTTCCGCCGGGTCGCGTGGCTGCGGTTTTCTGGGCCTATTGGCAAGCCAGCAAGGGCGTGGGAGGGTTGCAAGCATCATCGGTCATCGGCGCTCGCGAATGACGAGCGCTCGCTGCACTTCCTATACATGTGCGGATCCTTCCGCGTTTTGGGGTTGGGAGCGCTCGTTCCGAGCGTTTTTCTTCCGCCGGGTCACCTGGCTACGCTTGTCTGGGCCTATTGCCAAGCCATGAAGGGTGTGGGAGGGTTGCGAGCATTATCGGTAATCAGCGCTCGCGAGTGAAGAGCGCCCGCTGCACTTCCTGCACATGTGCGGATCCTTCCGCGTTTTGGGGTTGGAGCGATCGTTCCGAGCGTTATTCTTCCGCCGGGTCATGTGGTTGTGCTTGTCTGGGCCAATTGTGAAGCCAGCAAGAGCGTAGGAGGGTTGCGAGCGTCATCGGTCATCAGCGCTCGCAAATGAAGAGCGCTCGCTGCACTTCCTGCGCATGTGAGGATCCTTCCGCGTTTTGGGGCTGGAAGCGCTCATTCCGAGCGTTTTTCTTCTGCCGGGACGCGTGGTTGTGCTTGTCTGGGCCTACTGCCAAGCCAGCAAGGACGTGAGAGTGTTGCGAGCATCATCGATCATTGGCGCTCGCGAATGATGAGCGCCTGCTGCACTTCCTGCACATTTGCGGATCCTTCCGCGTTTATGGCTGGAAGCGCTCGTTTCGAGCGTTTTTCTTCCGCCGGGTCGCGTGGCTGCGCTTGTCTGGGCCTATTGCCAAGCCAGCAAGGGCGTGGGAGGGTTGAAAGCATCATTGGTCATCGGCGCTCGCGAATGAAGAGCACACGCTGCACTTCCTGCACATGTGCGAATCCTTCCGCGTTTTGGGGCTGGAAGCGCTCGTTCCGAGGGTTTTGCTTACGGCGTGGCTGTGCTTGTCTGGGCCTATTGCCAAGCCAGCAATTGCGTGGGAGGGTTGCGAGCATCATCGGTCATCGGTGCTCGCGAATGAAGAGCGCCCGCTGAACTTCCTGCACATGTGCAGATCCTTCTGCATTTTGGGGCTGGAAGCGTCTGTTCCGAGTGTTTTTCTTCTTGCGGGTCACGTGGCTGCGCTTGTCTGGGTCTATGGCCAAGCCAGCAAGGGCGTGGGAGGGTTGCGAGCATCATCGGTAATCGGCGCTCGCGAATGAAGAGCGCCCGATGCACCTCCTGCATACGTGCGGATCCTTTCGCGTTTTGGTGGTGAAAGCGCTCGTTCCTAGCGTTTTTCTTCCGCCGGGTCACGTGGCTGCGCTTGTCTGGGCCTATTACCAAGCCAGCAAGGGCGTGGAAGGATTGAGAGCATCATCGGTCATCGGCGCTCGCGAATGAAGAGCGCCCGCTGCAGTTCCTGCACATGTGTGGATCTTTCCGCGTTTTGGGGCTGGAAGCGCTCCACGGACAAAAATGAATTGATCCAATACAGGTGTAGTAAATACAATTGTATGTGATCACTATAGTGACCGATGGTGTTGCTGAGTTCTTATCGCGCGCGACGCGAAGGAGGCGCTCAGACAACCTTTTGCAACCTAGATATAAGAACTCGAGGGAAGTGATACAGGAGCCACATGTTCATTCTTCCTGCTAGTCTCCCGCTTCCCGTCACACGCGCGGAAATATCGTCATCCCGCCATGAACCGCTTTCCCTCAGCGCGCGTGTGCGCCAAGTAGAGCAGGCAATCCCAAGAACCAAAGCGCAAACATTTGTTTGATCCTTACCGCACTAAATCTTACTGCCTCGCTTCGCATCCAGCAGGGCCGTGTCTAACCTCTTAAGGTAATCCTCGCCAACCCCCACCCTCACCTTGCCCAGTCAAGCAGCTGTTTGCAGGGAAGCAGCGCGCGCGGAAAGTAGTGTACAGAAGTGGGGCGGAATCCTGGTCCCCACCAGTAGGGGCGAAATAGGCGTTCCACGCTGTTCCATACTGGTACGACGACTGTTACTTAGCCGCTCTAGGCAACTGCAGCAAGTATACTTAGCCGCTTAGTAGCGAGACCTTGTAGGAGCGTCGCAGGCAATTGTGCTGATTGATATCTCTAAACACTCATAGAAACAGTTCATGTGATTGTGGCCCAGTGCCATTGGTCATGGCAGCTGCTTCGTTACAATCCGCTTCGTTACCCGCGCTACTGAATCGCGTCGGCGAGCTACACGAAGAAGTGAGCGACGCGATCGAGCGAAGCCTCCAGTGCGACTTTTTTCTCTCCACCGGCGGTATCGGCGCCGCCGCCGCCGCTGGTGCCGCCGCCGGTGCCGCCGCCGATTGCGCTTCTGCGGGGTCTTCTCCCTCTGGCCCGCTGGTGGCTTCTCGGTATGGAAAAAGCGCGTCGCTCTCCTGAAAGTGACTCAAAATCGAGTTTCAAAACCTCCTGATTTCTTAAATTGTGCATTTATTCCGTTTCATAAGCATCGAGTTACACGTGGCACTAATTTTAGCTCCTATACCCGTCCAGTGATTCTTCTCCTCTCTCATTCAATGCGCCCCCTTGCAGTTTCCGTCATTGTTTCTTTCCATTCCCCAGCAACCTTGTATTTGCCATTGTCTCTTCACCAGTCTCCATGTTCCAGACACATGTTTCTCTTTCCTTATTCTTGTCTGCTCGACACACTGAGTTTTGAGACGGTCTCAAAACTCTTCACCAGTCTCCCTGTTCCTTACACATGTTTCTCCCGTTTCCTTATTCTTGTCTGCTCGACACTCTGAACTCTCCCTTTTCTCCGCGCAGCCTGTCGCAACAGGACACGCCCACCAAAAACTCCAGCGGCTCTAGCGGGGACAAGTCTAACGGGGATAAGTCTAACGGGTCTGGAAGCAACACAAGCTCCCCCTCCTCTTCCTACCAACGCGCCTATGAAAAACATGTCGAGTCTGCCCGGAAGGCCGGGCAGGACGAGAAGATTCAGTCCGGGCAGGGAAGCGCCGAGGCACGGATGCTGATTGCGCTCCGCGACGCGCTTGAGATGCTCGAGTGGCACCTGGACCAGCTGCTACAGTGCGAGGAAACGCTTCAGGAGAAACTTCAGGTGAAACAACAGAAGACGCAGCAGCAGATAAACCATCTGCGCGCGCCGCAGCGGCAGGGGCGCAGGGCGAGCGCGGGAAAAACCGGGGCGCGGGGAGTCAACGCCGCCGCCCTCGCGGCCGCGGCGGCTGCCAGAGCAGCGGCGGCGGAGGAAGCCGCGGCGGGTTCCGCGGAGGGGGGGTGCGAGGCGGAGGCGGAGGCGGCGACGCAGTGGGCGCAAATGGTGACTGAGTTAAAGATGGCGGCGCGGATCGTGGCGTCGCAGGGGCGGTGCCACCAGGGGCGCGAGGCGGAGGTGGTTGCGCGCATCCAGCAGCTGGCGGAAGACGTTGACCTGGAGCCCTTCCCCTTCCCTTCCGCCCTTGCCCCCCTCCCTTCCGCCATTGCCCCCTTCCCTTCCGCCCAGCAGCATAAGTTATTTTCTTCCTCCGCCTTCTCCCCTTTCCCCGCCGCCCCCCTCCTCGCGTTGCTCCCTGCCCACGCGCCCTCCCCCTCCTCCTCCCCCTCCTCCCTCCTCCCCCAACCCCTCACTCCCGCGCAAGGCCCCGCCGCTGCGCCGTACTCCTCCGCGCATCCCTTCTCCCCCTCCCCCTCCCCCTTCTCCGCTTCCGCGCTTTCCCCTTCCCCCTCGAAGGAAGCTTCCATGCAACTTCCGCCCTACTACCAACACCCGGAAGTCGCAGTGATGGGCGGAGGGGCGGTTGCGGAGGGGGAGGACTCAGATGGGGACAGCCCCACGAGCGGGCAGGTCGGGCAGAATGACTGGGCGGTGGGCAGGCCGCCGGTCAGGAGAAAAATATTCGGGCAAGAGTCTGAGAGCGAGGAAGAGAGTGAGGAAGAGAGTGAGGGTGAGAGCGAAGAAGGGAGTGAGGGGGAAGGTGAGGGGTATACGGGGAAGGAGGGTAAGGGAGAGGAGGCGGAGGGAGAAGGTGAGAGTGCGGGTGAGGGAGATGCTGTCACTGATCAAGCCAAGTCTGAAGCGCCTCAGGAACATGCGCCTCAGGAACATGCGCCTCAGGAACATGCGCCTCAGGAACATGCGCCTCAGGAACATGCAACTGGTGCTCTGGGTCTGGGGGGTGGGGAGGGAGGCGAGGGTGGTGAGAAGCGTAACACATTGCCTCATGAAGATGCTGCTGCTGCACCTGCTGACACTGTACTTTTGCCTTCCGCTGTTTCTGCTACTGACGATGCTGCTGCAGTTACTGCTGCTGTTACTGCTGCTGTTGGTGGTGGTGATGTCGGTGGTGATGTGAGTGATGGAGCTGCAGCGACTGCTGACCTGACTGATCCTAACTTATCTGGCGCCACTGCTGCCAGTTCTGCTGTGTCCGCTGACCCTCATGCACCTGATTCTACTGATTCTCCTGACTCTGTTGATTCTGTTAGATCTAACGACTCTGCTGCTGCGAGTTCGCCTGGTGCTGCTGGCACAGCGTTAGAGAGCAGCGGTTCTGGTGCTGCTAAGGCGAGTGACTGTGCTGCAGTCACAACGACTGAGGCCACGACTGAGGCTACCTCGGCTGACTCTTTTTCTGCCACTGTTATCTCTGCCGTTGACAATTCTAACGCTCACGCTGCTGACACCGCTGACACCGCTGACACCGCTGACGTAACTGCTGCTGGTACTGTTGCTGACTCCCCCGCTGTTGCTGTATCTGCAGTTACTGCTGCTTCCGCAAATGACTTCCCTGCTGCACCTGCTCCCATCGACCCCAGCTGTGCTGCCACTGCTGACGCCTCACTTGCTGCCGCCGCTGCCACTGTCGCGGCTGACTCCTCTGCTGCCCACGCAACTCCTGATTCCATCGCTGCACCCGCAGCACCACTGGTCGAGCCTGCACATACCTCTCCAAGCCAGCTCCCCTCAGTTCAACCGCCCTCAGATGAGCCCTCCTCGGGCCTCACCTCTTTGGCTCACCCCTCGTCAGCCGATTCCCTTCCCCAGTCCCCACCTGACTCTCTTCCCTCCCCTCCCGTCCCCCCGCTAGAAGCCTCTCGGATACACTCACGCCACCCTCTACCATACCAAGCTGTGCCGAACCTGGCTGCCGAACCTGACTCGCAGCCTGACCAGCAGGCCCGGAACCAGCCGAACCAGAGCTGGGCGCTCCAGCCGATCAACCAGGTTCGGGCGTTGACTCGTGTGGCGACTGGCGGTGCTAAAGCCATAGAGGTGGTGGTGGGGAGGGTTGCCCGCCTCTCCTCCTTCCTCCTCCACCCCATGACGCTCAGCCTTGGCGGCCTTGTCGGTGTCTCCCTTGGGATTGCCGCTGCCACGTCAGCAAGGAGGGAGAAGGGGGGTGGGCATTGGGGGGTGGTGAGGCGAGGGGTGTTGGGAGCGCTGCCGAGACCGGGTGCTGAGTCAGCTGTTGTGTGGAGGGAGGAGGAGAGGGGGCGGGAGAGGGAGAGCGAGAGAAAGAGGGAGGAGGAGAAAGCGAGGGAGGTTGAAGCGTGGGAATTGGACGAGAGGTTGTGGGCAGCGGAGGGGGATTGGGGAGAGGGAGACGGGTCGTTTGGATTGAGGGGTTTGGATGAGGAGGAGGGTTATGGGAGCATTGGGGAGGCGGACGAGGAGGAAGAAGAAAAAGAGTCAGACGAGGAAGAGGAAAGGAGGGAAGAGGAGGGTGGTATGTGGGGCACGAGTGGTGGTTCAGTGGAGGGTGTAGGGAAGAGCGAGGGGGAAGGGGTGCAGGAGCGGGGCGGGGGTCTATTAGCGTTCTTGCAGGGGGAAATGAGGCGACTCAAGGGGCAATCAGACGAGGCAGGTCTGGTTGGAAGCGGAGGAAGCGAGGAGAAGGGAGGGAGGGGTGGGGTGGCGTGGGGGGCAGGGCAGGCGGGGGCGTATGCTGCTGCAGTGCTGGAGCGGCTGAGGGAGGAGGTGCGCGTGAGAGAAGAGGAACTGGCGAGAGTGAAGGCGAGGGGGGAGGAGCTTGAGCGAGTGAGGATGCGAGAGCTGCAGCTGCTGCAGGGGCAGTGGGGCGAGGTGGGGGTGGTGGATGCTGGGGAGGAAGGGGAGGTGGGAGGGGAGAAGAGAGAGGAGGAGACAAGGGAGCAGGGAGGGGAGGAGAGAGACGAGGAGGGAGGGGAGGAGAGAGGAGAGGACGGAGGGGAAGGGAAAGGGGAGGGGAAGGGGGAGAGGGCAGGAGGGGGGTTTGGAGTGCATGTGGATGATCCCCTGCTGGCTGCTGTTCTCAGAGACCTCTCCGTGCGCCCGGTTGACTCTGCCCATGCTGCTGTTGCTGCGGCTGCTGCTGCTGGTGATGATGATGTGGGGATCACTCCGCTGCCGCGGTTGAACATCAGCAAGCCCAAGGGAGAGTGGGACCACCAGCAGGAGCAGCAGCGGCGGAAGAAGCCTCAAGGCGGCTTTGAGCGAGAGTGGGATGGAGTGAGCAGCCTTAGCAAGCCAGGCTCGGATGCATGTGTTTCTGCTGCCGGTGGTGCTGGTGTTGCTGGTAGTGGGGGTGACTTTCGGGATTGTGGAAGCTTCTTGGAAGCAGCACAGGGCTGGCTGGAGAAGGTTCAGGAGGGGAGGTCCCAGATTGACAGTCAGATGCTTAAAGCGGGCGGCACACTGCAAAAGGCGGGCGGCACACTGCACAAGGCAGGTGCGGCGTTACTTGACGCGCCTCGGAACACCATCCATGCCACAGGCCAGGCGTTGCCGAACGTGATTCCGAGCCTGCTGCCGTGCGTTGCTCGCAAGTACGAGAGGCTGAAGAGGCGTGGGTGGGTGGGGGTGCTGCGAGGAGGGGGCAGCGGGGAGGGCAGGGAAAAGGAACGGGGCGGCTGCACGGATGAAGCACAGCAGGCACGAGACAGCACTGCGTATAGTAATGCTGTGCAAAGCAGTAGTTTTATTGTGGCTTCTCACACTGAGGTGCATGGAGTGAATTTGGCACCTGGTGCGGTGATGGTTCCAGGTGTTGCAGCAGGGGGGGCAGGGCATGGAGGAGGGGATGGCTTCTGGACAGATCTGAAGGAGAAGGCTCAGCAGTTGAGCACTGGACGGAAGAGAGGGAGGGAGTGAGGGAGTGAGAGAGTGAAGGGTGTTGATGCTTGTCTTTTCCCTGTCTACGAGCGTGGGCTGTGTGAAGTGTGCCTGCTTGCAGATTTTCAAATTTCTTCTTTATTTTCCCCTTGTTCTAATGTGTGCATGCTTTTCCTATTGTGTTCCCCCACGCTCCCCTTCCGCATGCCTTCACCCTTGTTGGGCTGAAAAATATCCTTCTACTTACCTCAACAACCCCAAATCTCTTTGCACATGAGTTAACCGGTTTTCTTATTTTGTGGAGTGGAGTGGAGCATTGCACCGAGTGAATGCACATTCGCCCATCGCAGGTGTTCTACCTTCTGTTTTGTAATTTGCATGGTAAATCGCATGTAACTTTGGTCGTTCATTAGCTTGAAAACAACTCATTTATTTTAGGCAACCAATGACTTTAACATTGAACGAAAATAACTATCCATGTACGGTATCTAAAAAAGAAATTTGAAACACGTGAACCAGAGAAAGGGTGATGTTACAGTGCCAATCTTTTTGCAGGTTATGTGTATTCCATTCCAATGCAAGCTTGCGGTTACCGAATACCGGTATATCACATGAAGTGTACCCAGTACCCTTAAAGCCGGCGGCCCAAATTGTTCATGCTTTTAAAAGTTGACCAGAGGGAGTTTTTCTGGTGTGGGCTTTGGCGAGAGTTTCCGATTTCGTCTAGGTTCGTTTTTTTCGCGAGACCCAGCCAACCCTCGGTTTTCCCCCTGGTGAGTGAATCTGTCTTCAAAAGTCCCAAATTGCAAGTGCGTGACTTTCAAAAGCTTGGACACTCAACTTCGTCAAGTTTTAAAAACTTGACCCTCGCGGCCCGCAATTTGGGACGCGGGTTTTAAAGGCGTTATACCAACTATTATAAGATTTGCTTTCTAGATCTTCGACGGATTTGGGACCGAATTTCAGATGAAATACCGCACAAGACAAGGCACGACAGTGCACAATCGCCTTCAACCGTCCTGGTCCTTCAATAGCGGATTTTGTTCGTGATGAAACGAACTCCACAAATTCACGTGCGGAAGCACATGCATTTTGAAACGCCTCAACAACACCACTTGCCATGATCTAGAACGAGGCGACCAGTTTCGCCAAGGGCTACTCGCAACAACATCTGACTGGAGCACTGTCGCCAAAATTCTGCCGCTTCGCCATCTTTCGCAAACTTTCTGCTCCGTACAGCGGACTAGGGAAGTGAGCGTTTTCTTGCAGTTACACCGTACCGTACTTGGTGGGTTTGAAGAGAGTCGGTCAGACCGCGTACTACCTCACCTCGGTATCCCCTTCTGCACACAACAACGCGCTATTGTTACTCCCAGCAACGCGCTTTTGTTTACTGTTTGCTTAAAATCGCGTTATTCACTCAGAAGGATCGATGAAAAGGTCATTCGGAATGGGTGTGTGCAGGGGGGGGAAGAAGTGAGCTTCCATTTTGGTTGTGCTTTGATGTTTCGGAATTTGTGGTGGCGGCATTCCATTTTGAGTCCAATTTTAGTCTGTACTAGTCCTTCAAACCAGGACGCATTTTCCCAAAAAAGAAAGTATGCCAGGGAGGATGTGGTTGGGGAAAGAAAGGTACGGACCACTTGTTTCTACGAATTTATTACTACCATATCTCCATCATATCCCATTTCGAACAAACCCTGGAAAGCATCCATGCCCTAAAACCATACCCCAAACTTTTGAGATAGAAACTGGGTGTGGTATTGTACATGTATCTTCCTCCTGGGACCCACCCCGGCACCTTGATTAGGTGCTGCCTAGCCTCTCACTCACAGACTTCTGGTGTGCACGTAGCTTCCTTCTGGATCTTCCAGTACGCGCTCATGGTTTCCAGCTCACTGCTTGGCCTCCAAGCTTCCAGCTCAATAATCCAGCTAAAATCCAGCTCGCTGCATCATAACTCGCACGGGGTGAGCCGTTGACCGCTGCCAGCGCACGTAGAAACTAGATCCGAATCTCATTCTGTCGGTGCAGCATCCAGCTATCCGCATCGCCTGGGTGTCAGACTGTAGTACCTGGGTTTACGATTTGCGTACCGAACGGACTGTATGAGACGAGATATGGTGGGAGAGTGGGGCCACGTCATCATACGATCGATCATACGCCTTGTGTGGCTCTCACGCGATGGCGGTTGACTGCCGTCAAAACCAAGCACCGTACGGGGGGTCCCCCAGGAAGACTGTGTCACACAGCACAGCCCGATGGCGCTTGCTCTGCCTCTGTGAGCCGCCACGCACTACACGATGCCCGGGATGGCGCCGCGATAACAGCAACGCGGTCGCAGTCGTGCTGTCCGCTGCTCGTTACGATCTGATTCGGCCCGGATTCTCACTTTCCATGCAAACGCCTTTCCCGCGCTCCTCCTCACTCTCAGAGGCTCTTCTCTCTCCTCGCGCTCATCATGTCGGCGCGAGTGGGTGGGTGTTTCGTGCGATCCTTCCGATCAGATCGGTCGAGTTCTGATCACTACGCTAGTAGTAGTAACGTTCCTCTGATTACTATTTCTCGAAAGTCGTTTCTTTCTTCACCAGATCCTCATTTTCTCAGGGCCTCTATCGACAGCGAATCCTCCTCCAATCCTCCTCCATTGTTAACGAATCCCCAACTATCTCCCGCATCGTTCAAGAAGCTACTTGTTCCAATCAATAGTTCGCAATCACGTCGGCTGACTTTTTCGAGTCGTAACTCTAGAGGTGCCGCGTTACATCGTCGCCCGCCCGCGGCCTGCCATTCCAACGCCATCCAAAGCCTTACAACCCATAATCTCAAGACGCCATTCAACGCCATCCAAGACTCTGAGTTTTCAAAACCCCCATCCGCGGACCATTGAGACATTAAACGTCAACTCACAGCCCTCGTTCAGCGTCGTCAGCCTGAGGCCTTATGCTTATTACAAAGGCCCCTCTTGCAGATCTTTTACCAATCATGGCTCACAGCACGACGACAAGTACCCTGCCTAACAGCAGCGCCAGCATCACCGCGGCCGACGGAGCGACGTCAGAGTCGCTCGCCGCTGCTCTCTTCGCTCTGGACGACCTCCCTTCGCCGCTCGCTTCGCTCCACGCCACGCTCCCGCCGCCGCCGGCTGCGGCTTCTCAGACTCTGAGTTCACTCCCTGAGGAGTCAAGAGGCCGCTTCGGCTGGTCCCCAGCCGGCCCTCGCGGGTTTCCCGAGGAGGGGTTCGCGCTACTGCACGCCGAACCTCGCGCCGAACCGCTGAACGAGCGTCTTGCCGAGCCTCGGATGACCGCTGTGGGCGGGGTGGAGCCGGCTGGTGAAGTGCACGCGGCGGAGAGGCTGGGAGCGCTGTCAACGCCTGCTCAGGCTGCTGCTGCTCAGGCTGCTGTTGCTGCTTCTTCGATGCAAGGAACGGCCGCGGGCGGTGAGGTACAGATCGAACGCATGTTGGTTGGCCTTTCGAAGCTCGCATGCTCGCTGCGACAGCAGGAAGCAGCGCAGCAGCAGGCGGCGTGGCAGCAGCAAGCAGAGGAGCAGCAAGAAGCGCTGCAGCACTGGAACGGTGGAAACGCGGTGGGCAGCAGCAGCAGCAGCAGCGGCCTGCCTGAAGAGGATGGAAGCTATGAGAACCAGAACCAGTACCAGAACCAGAAGCAGAACCAGAGTCATACCAACCATGAGCAGGAGCAGGAGCAGGAGTATGAGCGCTTCACACTGATGAACACCGCGGCCGCTATTCCCGTCCCCAACGAGCGAGTCTCGGCGCCTGCACCACGCTCTCCGCCGCTGCAAGTCGCTGCAGCAGCAGCCAACGCAAGGAGAGAGGCGGGGTCTTCTGAGACAGCTCAAAAGTCAGCAGCAGTAGCAGCTGCAGTCGCAGCGGCTGCTGTAGCAGCAGCAGCAGCAGAGGCGAGGAGGGAGGAGGCGAGGAGGCAGCAGGCGGTGCTGTCAAGCCGAGTTATGGCGACTCTACAGATGGGGGCAGGCAGCGAGGACGAGAGGCGGCAACTGTTAGCTCTCCTGCTGGCGCTGAAGCAGGTGGAGGAGCAGCAGGCGCAGGAAGCGCAGCAGCAGACGCAGCAGAAGCTGAGGCAGAACGCACGGAAGCGGCAGAGGCGGCAGAGGGCGATGGGAGGTCAAGGGTTGTCAGGAAACCCTCAGTCGCCGCAAGTGCAGCAGCAGGAGCAGCAGCAGCAGCCTGAGCAGCAGGAGCAGGAAGGAAGGAATGAGGAGCACCGGCTCTTAGCTAGCTCGCCTTTTCTCGCGGGAGCAAGTCCTGACCTCCACGATGTAGGTGTAATGGGACGCATGGACGGGCGGGGAGGGGAGAGGAGCGGCAGCGGTGGCAGCAGTGGTGGTGGCAGCGGTATCGCCAGTGGTATTGGCAACGGTGTTCGGACTGACCCGGATTTTTCACAGCGTGGTGTTGGGAATGACGTATATTTTTCACCTCGTGGTGTTGACAAGAGCCTCACCAGTGCTCTGAGTAATGAGATTCGTCTTAACGCAATGCGTGACATCAACAGTGGCGTTTTCAGCGGTGGAGCTGCTGTGAACGTTGGGGCAACGAACGCTGGCAACGTGGGGAGGAAGAGAAGAAGCCCTGACGCCCTGGATGACGGCGCTACAGCCGCTCCCCAGTGGCATCACGGCATGCAGACCCCCGCCGGCTGCTACAGCCGCAGCGTGCTTGAGCATGCGAACCAGAGCGGTGTGCTGGATGGCATGCTCTTAAAGGATGCAGACTCAGCGCCAGTGGGGGCAGCGCCAGTGGGGGCAGCGCCAGTGGCGGCAGCACAGGCACACCCTACCTTGTCTCCTCTTCACGACAGCATGGCGGTGGCAGCAGGGCAGCACATGCACCTCCTGCTCCAGCAGCAGCGTCTGCAGCAGCAGCAGCCAAAGCAGCTGCAGCAGCAGCAGATGTGTGAGCAAGCGTCACAGCCTCTGTCACCGGAGGCCAGAAATCAGCGCTCTCGAGGCAGCGCTGGCTCGGCGGGCACAGGCACGGGTGGCTCAGGCTCGGCGCGCTCAGGCTCGGCAGGCACAGGCATGGGTGGTGCAGGCTCGGCAGGCGGTCCGGCAACCAGCAGCAGTGGGCAAGAGGGTGGGGAAGAAGGCACAGAAGTCATGCGAGAGGGCATGCGAGAGGGCATGCGAGGCATGCAAGGCATGGAGGAAATGGATGGCATGGATCAGTGGCAGTCTGATGAGGACTTAGGGGAAGCGGTGCCTGCACAACAGGCTGAGTGGGGCTCAGATGCCCTGGATAATCCCAAGGGCCGAGAGCGCGGCACCATGCAAGACGAGTGTGGCACGGACGACGAGTGGTTGCCTCGGTGCCAGGGCGTGAGGACAGGTTCGGTGCCGAACAAGAGGATCAAGAGCCGGAGCATGGCGGAGCGGCGGAGGAGGGAGAGGATCAGTGAGGGGTTACAGAGGCTGAGGGCGAAGGTGAGGGGGCGAGGGGACACGTGTGCGATGCTGGATAGAGCAGTGGGGTATGTAGATGCATTGGAGCGACGAGTGGTTGAGTTAGAGAGGGTTGTGATGGCAGCTGCTGGGTCTGGGAGAAACGTTTTCCCCGGCAATGCATTTGCCGGTGGTTTTGCTGGTCGTGGTTTTGCCGGTAACGTTTTTGCTAATAATGCCGCGGCGCTGACGACGATACCGGCTGCGATGACATCGGTCCCGACTGGCCTTGGGGGTGACGCGGTTGCCAGCTGGCCTTGGGAGTGAGGCACGGCTGGACAGAGATTTGGCCTGTCTTGCTGGAGCATTAAATTATTTTTCACATTCTCCTGATCTTTTACCGAAAAAGTCTATCTTATCCTTCCTTTTAGATTGGCTATGTTTTTTCTTCGTGTATGACAGGAGATTGTGAATTGAGTTTAAGCCAATTCCGTTTGTGTCGTTTATATATACATATATCCAGCCCAGAAAAAGGAATCGTGCTCGTTACAGTCCCACTGGCAATACATATGTACAACCATGACTGAGGTTCAGGTCCTCGTGTAGGTTTTGAGATTCCTTCCTGTATTTGCTTAGATCATCAGTTGTATAGGCTTTCCTTTACCGCTTCTTGCAACCTGAGAGGCATACAGCTGAAAAGTTTCAGAAATATCAACCCGCCGTAAAATATTCTCGGAAAATCCACGTTGCTCGAAATGGACTTGTTTTGTCTTCACATCGCCGTAAAATCAGGCGATATCTTCAGCAGCTGCAGCTGGCAGCACCTGACGTGGTTGAAATGATTTCAGTTGTCGTGGGCGGGTCGAAGGCGAGTTGGTAGAAGCAGAGTTGGAATGGAATCACCGAGAAGTTTGTCGTAATGCGCCGATAGTTCGTGGGCAGGGATGAAATTTTACAGCTGTCGCTCCCCCCCCTTCACTGTTGCCGCCGCCTTCTTCAGTTCGTCGTAAGTCGTTCGTACCCCTTGAAAACTCCGTGTAGTTCCCGCGATGTTGCCCTGCGTAAATGTCGCGCGCGTTTAACCAAACGCCGAATTCTCCTCCGAAATTGTCGGCGCTTCTCGCCGTAAAGCCGGTAAGTCCATCGTAAAACTCCGAAATTTTCGCTCGAAACGTAGCCCCGTAAATCCGCAGTTGCAGGTGCAGTTCTCCTCCGAAATCATCGGTCGTACTATAGCCGCCCACTCGGTCACCAGCTGTTTCCGTCAGTTCAGAACCCATCTGGGGGCTTAATCTGGAACTGGGGACTAGACCTGGGTATTCCGAGACCGAATTTCACGGAACCTAGTGGCATCAACGCCGTTGACTTCGTAGTCGAAAACTGCTTGCCGATGAAGTTTAACTGAAAACCACGCGAACTCCCACTAGCGCTTTGCAGATGTTTCACCCATCGCTCGTCGCCGGCAGGTAAATCCTGAAACTTCGGCTGCTCCCACGCTTCCTTTTACTGAAGAATTTCCCGCGGTGTACGTTTAAACACCAGTGGGTTCTAGGTATCCCTGCCGCTGTGTTTCTTGCCAGGCGACGTAAAAGTGACCCTTCAGGCGAAGTCCCCCAACGGCTCAACCGCACTCCAAGAAGCGAAGAAACACCCTCAGCTTCAACTCTTTTTTTTTTGTCTTTTTATTTTTTCGTAGAAAAGTCACCCGAAAATCACGGTTGAGGCAGCAGTCCCGAAGTTATTCTCCGCCGTGTAGCCCCGACGTTTCCGCCATTAACCCTGGTACTCCGATGTTCACCCATCTTCATACCCGTCGAAGCCACTTAGCGAATCCCAGGTATCATTGGCAATGTACCGCTCGCCGCGCCTCCATGTAACAATATCAAACCCTTTCGGGGGTCTACCGAATAGACTCCGAAATTCGCGATGGATTGGTGCACGGGCTCAACCTCTCACTCAAGTGATCTGCTGGATCACCCACAACTTTCCCTCCGTCGTCACATTTTTTTCGTATTCACCCCCCGACAATTCCGCTTCCCGCCGTTCACCCAGCGTCCGCTTTTGTCGGATGGGGTATCGTCGTTGCTGCCCGCGCGAACACGGCCACAGTGGAGAGGCAAAAACTATCGGAGTCGGGGAACCTTAGTTAAAAGGAAACTATCTCCCAACCGTTTTGCAGCCCGCCGTGCCTATCACGCCACGAAAATTCCACAGCTTCCCGGTCTCAGCTTCGCCGCTGCGCCGTCAATTCGTGTAGACGCCCGGGTCAGGAGAAACCTGTAGACTGCACCACTTCTTCTTCGCAGCTCCCCGACTTTTTCGCGTGCCGTTCACCCAGCCCGCTTTTGTCGGAGTAAAACAGTGCCGCGAACTCCACTTTTTTTGTTTTTTCTGTACAGCTGTCGAACGAACACCAACCCAGGTGTCTTTAACCAGCACAGGGTAGGCACGTGTTCACCCCCGTTATTCGGCCAAGTAGGTTGACTGCATGAGTCAGAACCAGGACTTGGTGGGGATGGTGAGGTTCGGGCGAAGTAGGGCCGCAGATCGGTTCCACCGGCTTTTAATCTGCCCCCACGACGTTCTTCAACCCTCGCTTAGCCGTTGGGCCGTTTCTTCCCGTGTGTCCCGGCAGCCTGTACCGACCCCTCCGAAATTGTCGGGCGGTACCTTGGACACTGTTTAACCGTGGGTTGTCAGCAGCTGTCCCCGAAAACAACGTCCCTGGTCAGGAGAAAATGTTCTCGATACTGCCGGCCAGCTTGCAACAACACCAGGCACGCAGCGTCGCACGAGTTTTTTCGAGGTGTACCTGCCCCGATTTCCCTCGTCGCCTGCGTCCCACTTCCTCGTAAGTGCGATTTAGCCACCGCGTTTTCCGTTGCAGCCCGTAAGTGTCACGAGTCTGAAGTCCAGTCTGTCCACGAGCACTCCTGCCGAAAATTGCTGATGACGCGCCCGCCAATGCAGTAAAAGCCGCCGCACTTAACAGGTCGGGCGGGACGGCAGTTGACTCCCGCTAAGTCGGGCAGTCTAGTGTCGTCTCTCCTCGCCACGGATATTTTCGGACGCAAAACTCCATTTGCGCCTGGCGAGTTCCCCAGCTGCCATTTCTTCAACAGTTGCTCCGAAAATATCGCCACAGTGACGCACGTCCCTTGTCGCCAGCTGCCGAGCCACACTCCGTGAGTCACGCGCGCAAAATGACGACGAGCCACCGTTGTCACTTGCCGCATGGGACGACTCCGAAGTTGTCGCGCAACTGTTGACTCAGGTCCAACGTCGTCAACTGCCACTCTTCGTGACGACTTCCGAAAATTTCGTGCAGGTGCCGACGCAGGTCCGCTGACGCCAGCTGCCTCACAAAATTCCGAAATCGTCTTTAAAACCGCAGCGGAATAATAACTCACGTTTAATGTCGTGACAGCTACAGCTGTCCGTTGCCCGGGGGGAGGGAGGCCACGGTCGATCGCGACCGTTCAAGGCAAGGATCCGGCGGTACCAAGGAGTGCCCCGTTAAAACATAGCCGCGAGGAGCAACTAACTAGTTCTCCTGGCCGGCCTACGCAACTCCTGGACCCCAAGGCATCCTTCCTCGTCCCCCCCCCCCCCCCCGAGGGGTATTACACTCTAAAATAACAGGTGTTATGAATGAACTTGCAGAGTGCGCAGAATATCGAATAACGAGAATGATTGAGTACTGAATGAACAAACAATGAAGTAGCGAGGCCTAAATAGGGGAAAATCTAGCTAGGCGGGGGGGTCGGAATGGGATGGCTCGGTGATGGTTGCGATTGGAGCGGAGGCCGATCGGGAGTGGTTCGGTGCGACGAAATAGGAAGGACAGGTTCGTCGCGTGACCCTCGGGATGGCCTCGCTAACGAGTGCCTCAGTAAGGATTTGTAAATCCTTACAGTAACCAGCCCCAGCAATTGTACTCAATAGAAGCTGGTGGCGATCACCGCAAAGGGATTGCGAAAACTTGGCGTGACCGTGTTAGGCATGATACGTACCAGATAAGCAGTTCCATTTGCTGGATTTGGGCTGGTTGGAGTGTAGCTTGTACTGTACGCGCAATTACGTGTCAGCTTGCTGGATGTGAATCAATGAGGTTGACGAACTCGTCATTGTCACGTGGGCAAGCATTGCAGTTTGTAACTTTCTAACAGCACTTCGAAACACGAAGACTCGTTACGGCAAGTTTCGCCATTCCACACGAAACTTGTCACGAAATTGCATGTTGCTTCGCCTGCTTTCGTGTCTTGAGCCATACCCCTCCTCACTTATGGGCCTGGAAGCAGTTAGGGCGTGTCTGGTTGAATTTTGACGTTCGCCGACGAAAGTTTGGTCGACGAATCCCGACGAAAGTTGACGAAACTCGACATCCGTTTTCCCGTTTTGCACTTCAGACACACAAACGACAAAAAAACAGCACGTGCGAATTTCGCCACTGTTTCCACTGCCCGAAAATGCCAACGTGGATAGGAATAGCGAAAGGCACCTGCTTGTGTCGTGGATTTCGTCACACACTAGTCTGTCCAGTTCTGCACAGTTGAGTTTGACATGCGTGCAATTGCAGGGCGCCTCGTTGAGAGATCTGGACACATGGATCAAGAAATTCCACGCCCACTCTTTCAAACCCTAGGACTATTTCTTCCATTGCAGACATTTGAAACCATTCGTCATCCGCAAACGTAGCAGGCACATAACATTCTGACTCCAAGACTCCTCTAGGTTCAACGAGTTAATATTCGTCAGACCATATCAGACATGGATGTATTGCAGTTACTACTCATCTTAACTTGGTTGCGGCATGGTTATTTTGAGCTAGTCTTGCGGCCATTTGTAAAGGCATTGGAAGTTATCCTTAGTGAAGTGACTTACCTGTTGTTTCTCCAATCTGATCGGCTCAATATCCGCAAGGAGATGCTGGCGGCCAGGGAGACGTGGCTAGGGTTTGTGCGCCGATCTCGTCCAGAGCAGTTTTACAATGTATTCAGGATGGAAAAACATGTATTCAGGTACTTGTTGCGCAGCTACCGAGCTGTAATGTCGCGTAATAGTCATGGGACCTTACCACCAGAGCTCAAACTAGCAGCAGCTATACATCGTTTGGGCCACGGCTGGAGCTATCGAATGTTGTCAGAAGTTTATGGAATCAGTCGGTGTGAGGCTTCATTCATATGCGAGAAATTTGTGGATCACGTAATCCATGTTCTTTCACCAAAGTGGGTATCGTGGCCTACACAAGACGAGCTCGTGCGGATGGAGCAAGAATTTAGAGCTATAGGTGGTATACCCGGCATAGTTGGAGCACTAGATGGTACATTTATTCAGGTCCGTGTCGGAGGGGAACACAAGAGTGACTATCGTAACAGAAAGGGACAGTTTGCTATCACTCTACAATTGATAGTAGACGCATGCGGAAAAATATGGGACTACTTTGTTGGCTGGGCAGGATCAGTCAACGACTCTAGGATCTTTGAGAATTCTCCAGCAAGACTGAAAATTGATGGAGGGGATTTGTACGATTATTGCCTTGTAGCGGATGCAGCATATGGATTTCGCTTCTACACCTATGTCCCATTTAAGGCCTTGATGGGACGCCTCTTGGGCGCGGCGCAACGCATCTGGAACAAACAACAGAGCAGGTCACGGATGATAGTTGAGCGGACCAATGGTCGCTTAAAAATGAAATGGCGTATTTTGCATAAGTGCATGGAATACAACGTCAAGAATGTGCAGAATGTTGTAGCGGCATGCGTCGTGTTACATAATATCGAATTGGGGCTCAGCACCAAGCCTCGTACCTGTGTGCCTCGCGATCGTGATCGGTGGTGGTTGCGCGGACCAGCTGCACTTGCACAACACCTTTTCTCAATAACACCAGGTTTCTCACCTATGCGCCGGCGGGATCGTCTGGCTGTTTATCTTTTCGCTTCTTGGCATCAGGCGCATCCTTCAGTTCGTTCACCAGCTCACGGGTAAGTCGGGTAAAATTATCATTGCTGCTCTCAAGCACTTCTCTCAAAGTGCTAGCAAGTACTCGTGCCATACGTTCAGCCATGGCCTCCCAAAGCCTGCCCGCCTGTAGGTGCTCGGGGAGTTCTTGACGGGACTGGTGAACGCGCAGGGACTGGTTGAGATGGCACTACACCAGGTTGAGTAGCTGCGGGTGTACTAGTTGACGGTGGTTGCAGCACCCCTGGTACATCGTCATCAACACCACCCTCGTCATCCGGGAAGAAGTTTGCTAGCAGGTCCTCATCGGTCAATTCCGCGTCTGGACGCGGCAGGCGATTCAACCATGAAATCCGAGGGGGGGCGTTTCCTGGAGCCGCATTTCCAGCAACTCGTTGGTTAGTAGTGGATTCTTGCGTCGGGACATCATTTGAGTTGTTCACTGGAGTAAATGATCCCTCACCAAGCTCGTTGTCTTGAGACGACATACTGTGTATCTCGGTTTGGAGAAAACGCATATACTAATTCACCTGTGATAGCACTAAGTAACAATCAAGAAACATGTTCTTTAGAAGTTAATGAAATGAAGATAGTTGTTAATGGATGGAGAACTAGTAGTAGATGTGTCGGGAAGGATTCTTGCACCAATGTTGCACCTCAATCTTGCTCTCACGAACAACTCTTGCTGAACAATCTTGTTCTCATTCTGCACGTCAATCTTTTCAATTGATACGAGGCGCAACATGTGGCGTGGGTTCTCGTATCCCAAATTTCGTTGACATCGTGGCAGATCCCAAGCACTGTTTGCGCGCATATCCTGACGATCACAGGTCAGCTAGTAGCTGACGTGTTGATGAATTTGAAATACGCAGACATTGACTGGTGTGACTGCGATCGAGTGGATCAATGTTGACCTGACGTGGCTGACGAAATTCTAGGTGCCCACGATGGCAACAGTAACTACAAAACCTGACCGACAGGACTGTTCGACATCCACCGACGAGTGTACGAACGCCAAGTTTCGTCAGTGGATGTCGAGCTGCACTTCAGACAGCAAAACGCGTGGGACCCACGGATGAGTTTCGTCGACGAAAGTTGACGAAACTCGACGTTTGCACTTCAGACACGCCCTTAGACCTTCGGCCTCGATTTTGGTCACCGTCAATTTTGTTCGGCCTCCCCTCCTGGCCTTCTAGTCTAGAGTACAGTAGTTTCTGTGTTGGCGCACTGAGTGGGGTCCAGCTGGCGCTTCCAGTTCCGAACTGGAGTCATGGCTTCCTGTCCCGTCTCACTGCCTTCCAGCTCGCTGGCTTTCAGCTCAAGCTTCCAGCTCATGCCATTCTCTGACATCCAGCGCGTTCTATCATGAATTGCAGCGTGCGAAGCAGTTGACCGTTGCCAGCGCACATATTTTCGAATCTCGGATGTGATACAGTCGAGTCGATTGCTACCGCATTCGGTGGAGTTCACTGTCGTACACCGAACAGTGTAATAGTGGTACAGTACGAGCTGCTACGCGTAACCACTAGTGGTGCAATAATTGTGCCGCCACGACATCGAGGTTGTTGTGTGCCACCCACACGATGGCGGTTGACTGTCGTCAAGAACATGCGGCGAGAGTGTCACAGCGAGAGCTCGTCGGCGCTTCGCGAATCGCAATCATGTGTCGGAGTGGGACGGGACGAACGTCCCTGGCCCAATTTCGACTCGGAGTCGACTAAAAAATGTACCCGTTCCCGGCCCGGCCCAGGGAAGGATCACCCGATGGTGGGTGGCGCCGCGCCGCGATTGCAACAAACGCGGTAAAGAGTGTCGCCTGCACGTTAGGATACAGTACGTGCGCCAGTTCAAACATTCTCGGACACGCCCCCGTCTCACTCTCTCACGTGTCCCGCAGATGGTCAGTTTGTTCGCGAAATCTGGGTTGAATCGAATTACATCAATAAAGATCACGAAGCCAGCGTTTTAAACTTTCCAGGATTTAGTAGCATCTCGCAAAGAGAGTTGTTCTCCCGACCAGCTCCGCATCCTCCTTCCATTTCATGCCAGTTGTGCTGATTTTCACAGATTAATCGCGACCGCTCTCCTCGCATCATCGTCCGGCGTTTCCCATCTCAGCGGCATCAAAAGACCCGCTCACAGGCTCAACCGCTGGAGTTCCCGACTGCCAGTTCTTGAAAAGTCGCCTTCTTCGAATTCTAAAGGTGAAACGTCGCCATACTCTTCTAGAGCTTACTTTTCGAACTCGACCCGCCTCCACCTGCTACTCCATCTGCTACGCGTCGCCCGAAGCCAAATCTATGGCTGGCAATAGCAGCACAGTGGTGCTCAACTGCGACGGCGCCACCACCCTCACCACCGCCGGAGCGACGACGTCGGACTCTCTCGCTGCTGCGCTCTTCGCAATGGACGACCTCCCTTCGCCATTCGCGCCGCCGCCGCACACCACGCTCCCGCTCCCGCTCCCGCCGGCCTCGCAGCGTTGGATCCCAGAGCATCTTAGAGGGCCGCGGCGTGTCTGGTCGCCCAGCCGCCCTCGCTTTCACGAGAGAGACTCGTTGCGCGTCAACCAACCGGCATCTGTCGAACTGCAGACACAGCCGTCTCTCATCATGAGAGAGACCAAGGTGGGAGAGGCTTTGGTTCACTCGCACCCGCTGATTGAACTGTTGCTGACTTGTGTAGGCGGGCCGCAGGGAGGACCCGCGCCCATGGGGATGCATGTGGGGATCCCTCGGAGTGGAGGGGGCGCGGGGGAGGAGTTGCGAGACTTGAATAAGCCTGCTGGGGCTGTTGATGCTGATGCTGATGATGATGATGATGATGATGATGATGATGATGATGATGATGATGATGATGATGATGATGATGATGATGATGATGATGATGATGATGATGATGATGATGATGATGATGATGATGATGATGATGATGATGATGATGATGATGATGATGATGATGATGATGATGATGATGATGATGATGCTGCTGCTGCAGTGCAAGACGCGAGCGGGGAGGTGCAGATTCAGCGCATGCTGGCTGGGCTCTCGCACCTCGCACGCTTCCTGCGCCTGCAGCAAGCACAGCACCAGGAGGCAGCGGCAGAGGCAGAGGCAGAAGCGGGGGCAGAGGAAGAGGCAGAGGCGGAGGCAGAGGCAAAAGCAGCGGCGGAGGCAGAGGCAGAGGCAGAGGCAAAAGCAGCGGCAGAGGCAGAGGCAGAGGCAGAGGCAGAGGCAGAGGGAGGGGAAGCGGTGCTTTCAGACCGGGTGATGGCGAGGCTGCAGATGGGGAGAGGCAGCGAGGCCGAGAGACAGCAGCTCATGGCTGTCCTGCTGGCGCTCAAGCAGGAGGAGGAGCAACAGCTTCCGCAGCAAAAGCAGGAGCAGAAGAAGCAGCAGAAGCAGCAGCAGAAGCAGAGCCTATGCAAGCGGCAGAAGGGGCACGAGCAGCCAGGGGTCCCCCAGGCTCTACAAGTGCAAGAGACGCAGGAGCAGCAGGAGCAGCAGCGGCAGGAGCAGCAGCACCGGGAGGAAGGAGGGAAAGAGGAGGTTTGGTTGTCAGCTTTCTCGGCTTTTCCAGAGGCCGGAACATCAGCGAAGCAAGTGGAGACCACCCTTGCTGCTACCTTTGCTCCTAGATACGGCCCAGATGGCGCTCTGCGTGGTGCTAGTCGGTTGGAGCGCATGGGAGGGCGACATATGGAGAGGAGCTGCAGCCGTGGTGGCAGTGACCCTGAGTATGCTCTGCGTGGCAGTAGCACCAACCCCAGCAGTGTCATGAGCAACGGGATCCACAATAGCAATGAACTGGTGGGAGCGCGTGGCACCAACAGTAGCCTTTTCAGCAGCACTGCCACCAACTCAGCGAGCGATGCGGGAAGGAAGAGGAAAAGCCCAGAGCGCCCCGCTGGTTGCGCTACAGCCGCAGCTCACACGCAGCAGCACGCCAGGCAGGCCTCCCATGTGTGCTACAGCCGGAGCGTGCTTGGGCCGGCCAGTGCTTCGTTTGTACTGCCGAACCCAAAGGGATTCCCTGCCGTAGGGGCGTCTATCCTGGGCCCTGCCATTGTTGTTGACCCTCATATCCTGGTGCCAGATGTGAGGGTCAACCAGAGTGGTGTGCTGGAAGGCATTTGCACAACCAAACACGACGTGCCTTTAGAGTCGACCAAAATGTCGCCTCGGGATGAGTGTGCGGTGAGGTACGAGTGCAAGACCAACAGCCGCGCATGCGACATTCCAGGCGAGTGCTGGACGGACGATGCTTTGGATGATCCCAAGGGCCAGGAGCGCAGCAACATGCAAGACGAGTGCGGCACAGATGACGAGTGGTTGCCTCGGTGCCAAGGCGGCGTCAAGGCAGGTTCGGCGCCGAACCAGAGGATTAAGAGCCGGAGCATGGCAGAGCGGCGGAGGAGGGAGAGGATCAGTGAGAAACTGCAGAGGCTGAGGGCGAAGGTGAGGGGGCGAGGGGACACATGCGCGATGCTGGGCAGAGCTGTAGGGTATGTAGATGCGCTGGAGAGGAGAGTGATGGAGTTAGAGAGGGTTATCATGACGGCTGCTGGGCCTGGGAGGATTTTTTTCCCCAGTCATGCATTTGCCGGTGCTGGTTTTGCCGGGAATGCTCTTGCTAATGACGCTGCAGCACTGCATGCGATACCGGGTGCACTGGCATCGGTCCCGACTGGCCTTGGGAGTGACGGTGTTTCTGGCTGGCCTTGGGAGTGAGTGAGCATGGCTGGTTAGCGGAGGTGGCTTTGGCCTACTGTCTGCTGGTGGAGGTTCGACGAATGAAGCATGTGGATCAGATTCTTGGTTCCACCATATCCGTGGTGGAAGGAACCGCGGGATTTGTTTGGTCAGATTCTTTGGATCTTTCCTGCAGCAACTGCTTTTGTGAGCAGGGTCTAATCTATCAGATGTACGGTATATGATTTTGTAGTATACAGTACCGTATATGATTTCTGTTATTATATAAGTATGTTCATTTGCCACATGTGCATGCTGGAACCTGCTTGACTAAAGACACTACTGTTTAGACAACCCAAAAAATCGTACGTATGGATGTAAGCCTTGTACATTTATCACAGAATGTATCAAGCTTATTGGCATGCATCAATTTCCCTGCGACGCAGATTGGCTTGGTATCACGAACCACTCGCCGTTCGATCAAGTTGATCGTGAGGCGATGGATAGACGAGCCGATTTCCCGCCATCACCAGCACGCCTGTCAGGTGCCACCGCTCAATTAGGCGGCTCGCGCGCAAAGACGCCAAAACCTACTCGGCTGAAATTCGACACTTTTCAGTAACTGCTAACGAAAGCTTCGTCCTGTTCGCCAGGAGATGATTTCTCAGTAGCTAACGGGTAATCCTTTCGTCGAGACCCATCTCGCGAAACTGACAACAAGAATGTTCCGCCTGTTTGGCAGCGGAAGGGATTGTTTGCTCGTTCCGCCTTCCTGGCCTTCACACCTCCACCCCCCAGGTATCCTCTTCTCCCTCCTCACCTAGGAATTGCCTCAGTCACCATCCTATCCTAGTGACTAGTCTGGTGCTTCCCTGAATGTCCATGGCAGCTTAGGAATTCTCCGCTCTTAGGCTCTGCTCGTTTCTATGGCGGCTTCTTATATTCATGGCGTCCTTGGATCCGTGGCTCAACAAGTACCTCAGCATTAGCAACCCCTACTGCGTACCGCTATGCAGCAGATAGATCAGCACGTTCCATGTTGGTAGAAGTTCCCATGGCTCGACAATGCTCGCCACCTCTCGTGTAGCTGAACTCAAAAGACTTGACCATCCGTTGAACGCCATATAGTTTGTTTACCATCCCGTGACTATCCATCGTTATTAGAATCAGAGGTGATGTTTTTCGTAAGTTCTCGGAAACGGATTCTGCTACTTAACAATAGCGCTGGCTGTGGCGACGGCGTCACATAGATCGTCGACAGAGCTGCACGTTCGTTCTGATAGTCATTGACGGGGTGTGTACGACGGTGAAGATCGATTAAGAGAGTCATCCAACAGCGTGTTTGATAAAAAAAATATTCTTGACGGCGATGGCGACACAACAAGCGCGATCAGTCTATTATACTCTGAGGCGTAACGGACCTGATGGCGAAGCAGTAAGACCTCCACGACCACTGTTACCTGGGAGAAGCGACGGTAGCAGTTTCAAGAATAGCAGTACTTCATACTCCACTACGCTCCCGTCACGCTCGCCTTCGTGATGTCTTCGCATTCAGCTGAATCGCGTCCGGCTCAAGGCAAGAGATGTCGTGTTTTGTCATCGCGTCTGCACACGGGAGCCGTCGCATCTTGATATTCGCCGTCTGGAGTCGTCGTATCTTGGTCGTCGCCGCCTGGCGTTGTTGCATCTTGGTCATCGCCGTCTGGAGCAGTGGAAGAGCGTGGTGGTGATCGGCGGGTACGAGATTGTCAGATACACGCGATCATTCCAGCGGCTGTCGCTTTCGTGACGCGATCATTCCATCGGCTGACGCTTTCGTGACGTGGTAAATCGCGCACTGCTCACGGACGCGAGACGTCTCATTCTGGTGAATCGCGTGCTGCTCACGACGCGCGACGTCGCAGCTTGGTGAATCGCGTGCTGCTCACAACGCGCGACGTCGCAGCTTGGTGAATGGCGTGCTTCTCACGACGCGCGACGTCGCAGCTTGGTGAATCGCGTGCTGCTCTTACGACGCGAGATGTCGCATCCTGGTGAATCGCATGCTGCTCACGACGCGCGACGTCGCAGCTTGGTGAATCGCCGTGCTGATCAAGACGCGAGACGTCGCATCTTGGTGAAGCGTGCTGCTCACGACGTGAAGCGTCGCATCTTGCGTGCTGTCACGGACGAGAGTCGTCGCGCTCGCCGGCGTCGACATCAGCTCTCAAGCGTCAGCGATTACGATTCGACTGCAGCGATGGTTCAGTTGTAAGGCAAACGACAAGGCGATTAAGATTCGACTGACGGCAAACGACAAGGCGATTCGGACAGCTTGATAACTCCTTTCGCGAACGGCGGCGAGCGGGAACTACGACGGTGAAGGAGCACGAGTCTGAGGCGTCGGGCGATAAACTCTGAGCAGCGACGACGATTGACGGACGACAAGCAACGAAACGTTTGAGAGGCGGATGGCGATTAACGGACGACGAGCAGCGCACGACGAGTGACGGCGTCTGCCATAACGACCGAGCGACGAGCGAGCAACGACGCTCGGCGCCAGAGCGACCAGCGAGCACCGACGCACGGCGAACTGCGAACGACGAACGGCGAGCGACGCGCGTCAGTGACGAGCGGCGGACGAGAGCGTCTATGGCGAAGCGAAGCCTTTCAACCGCAGCTACTTTCTGATAAGTGCACCTATTCCCTTTTCCTGGTATTTCTTTGACGCACTTTTGTTGATGCGAAATCTTCAAGGAGTGCGTTAGGAGTGTGAGGGAGTGTGGCACAAGGCAGCTGAGCGCATGTAGGTAGAGTTGTAGTTGGTTAGAAAAGAACGCATTCATCCTCATGCCCGCGTCTCCCTCTACCCCAGTCCCCTCTTGCAAGCTCGCTGCCAAACTGCCACGGCCTGCCATCGCCACACGCCCTTCGCCTCCCACGGTCCTCCCACCCCCTCCCGTGCCTTTCTTTTATCTGCTTCAAGTTTCCCAATGCTCATTCGATTCCACGTCATGCTTGCTGCTTCATCATTCTAACTTCATTGCCTGCACTACGCCAATCTCTTCCATCTCCTTCCCCGCCGTGCCTTGTTCCCCATCCATCTTCTGGCCTAAGGTCAAATGGAGTGCAGGCGGACTTGCAACGAGCTGGGTGCGACGATGTGCAGAATGGTGACGCGACGGTGTGCGAAACGGCGACGAGTTGCGTGAGACATTGTGCGGAATGGCGACTTACTGGAAGGCGACGTGCGGAATGGCGAGTTGCTGGGCGGCGACGTGCGGAATGGCGAGTTGCTGGGCGGCGACGTGCGGAATGGCGAGTTGCTGAGCGGCGACGTGCGGAATGGCGAGTTACTGGGCGGCGACGTGCGAAATGGCGAGTTACTGGGCGGCATCGGCGATGTGCGGAATGGCGTGCTGCGTGAAACAGTTCGCGGAACGCCGTCGTGCGACGGTGTGCGGAACGTTCAACCCCTACACTTCTCCTTAGCTAAGTTTCCTCTCCGCCCCCCCCCCGTGCTCCATCGCTCACCATCCGTCTCTTTCACTCTTGGCAAATCTCAAGGCACATTTGTTTCTTGGCGTATGGTGGTGGTGGTCCATGGTGCTATGGCAGCAGAGCTCATGTAGAGTGCAGTGCAGTGGGAGTGTGGGAGAGATTAGAGGGAGAGGGAGTGCATTCATGCCATGCGCGCGTCCCTCTCTACCCCAGTCCCCCCTCGCTGGCTCAGCTCGCTGCTGTAGCACCGTGGGCCACTGTCGCCATGCACCTTCCCCTTTCCCCCTCCCACCACGATCCAACCACTCCACCCTCCATTTTCAAGTTTCTCAATGCTCGCCCTTCACAGCTTCTGCTCTATTGCCACCTTGATGCTTCTGCTCCATTGCTTCCCAGTGACGGATGGCGAGTGACGGGCCTCGGCCATATCGACCGAGCGACCCGCGAGCAACGCACGGCGAGCGAGCGAGCAGCGAGCAACGACGCACGGCGAGCGAGCGAGCAGCGAGCAACGACGCACGCCGAACGATGGGCGACGAATTGCGAGCGACGCGCCTCAGTGATGGGCGACGGACGAAGAAGCTATGCCGTTCAGCCACAGCCACTTCTGGTGATGTGCTCTCACCTCCACTCCCGTTTGACTTGTCTCGCTTTCTTGCGCAATACGATTCCGAAACTTATCGAAAAATGTACGAGTGCGGGTGGGAGTGTGAGGGCGTGTGGCGATGGTGGGCCGTGGCACAAGGCAGCTGAGCGCATGTAGATTAGAGTTGTAGGAGGTTAGAATAGAACGCATTCATCCTCATGCCCGCAGCCTCCTTCTCCTCAGTCCCCCCCTGCAAGCTCGCTCGCTGCCAAACTGCCACGGGCTGCCATCGCCACACTCCCTTCGCCTCCCACGCTCCTCCCAACCCCTCCATAACGTTTTGGTTTTGACTCGTTCATTTTCATGCACTCCTGCACCTTCCCATGCGTATTGCTTGCTCCAGTCCTTGTTGCATGCATCCTGTTCCCCCCGTCCCTCAACCTTCCCCCCTGTGGCAGCATAGGCAGCAGCAGCATCAACCGGGGGCAAAGCGCAGTGGGCAGCAGGGAGCTCGGTTTTCCCGCCTTCCGGAGAGCTCGTGGCAGAGGGACCTTCCACAGCAGAGGGACCTTCCACAGCAGAGGGGCCATTCACTGCAGGGAGGCAGCGCTTTTACCAGGGAGAGTATGGGGCTGGCCGCTACCTCTCAAGGTATACCACGTTTTCCAGTTCTACACCCCTGAGTAGGTCGCAAACACCGCTCTCCACCCCTCCCATGCCGTGCTGCCATGTGCTCGTTTGCTTCCAATTCTGCTCACCCCACCCACTTCGCGTCCTTCTTCTAGTATTTATTGTATGCCTCCTTCCCCCTGTCCCTCCATCCCCCCCCACCCCCCGGTTTCCTCCATTCCGTGTTAAGTCTTACTTGTTGAGACTCTCACATATCTCGTGCCTGTTTCTTGTCCTGCACTCACTCACCTTCTGCCCTTCCCTCCGCTCTGCCCCATTCCCTCCGCTCTGGCCCGTTCCCTCC